TTTCAACATATGATTAATATAAAGTGACAAGTAAATATTTTAGGTTAAAAGTAGCAATAGGCAAATCAAGTGCTCACATTGCGCATGGAAATGATCATTACGCCAGACTTTTATGTAAAAGTATTATCCATCATAATTAATTTAGTGTTCAAGAAAAAATTCAATCATAAGGTATTAGGAAAGACACACAACTCATTACAAATACCAGCTAATGTGTTGTTTGTTATCTGTATAAGTTGAATTTTGTAATCCATCCTAATGCCTTGAATCTGTAATCATGTCTAAACACAAATGCAAATTAAGACATTTGAAATGTCTGCGTTAAAACTACGAATGCATGTATCTTTCCGATATTTCAGCATAACGTAAGTGCTGTAACAAGACCATTTGCCGCTGTATGTAGACACAACTCAGTACGCCAAGCCTTCGGACAATAAAGGTAATTCTTATTCGTAAATATAAAAGTGGAGATAACATTTTGTATTCGTATCGAAATTCTTCCCCCTTAATTACAGTATGCATGTCTGTAATAAATATTTTGTATAACGTAAGTAAATGTATTTGGTTATATTTTAGTGAATCATAATGTGCAACATTTTTGAGTTGAAGATAGAAAGTAAACTGACACAAAAATATAAATAGAATAATAAAAGCCACGTTTTTTTCAATATTTGGTATATGGACACAAATAATGAAATAATTATTTCCCCTATTGTTTGTGCGTTCCTAATCGTTCTTAAATGGCGATTATATATGAATTGCTGTAAATCTACCAGAATTGCGGTTAAAAACAATCATTTCCTTATTTTTTGCAAATTTCAGTATGATATTTTGACCAAACATACATGACTTGAAATGTCTGCACCAGTACAGTGTGTATTTGTATAAACAAAACTACTCACAATCACAAGTATCAATGGTTGTTGTATAAAACAAGGAATTGTTAAATATGAATATCAGTTAAACACAAGTAGCCAAGGAAATCACTAAATACGGTGACGCATCCACCCCTATGTACAATGGTAGAACCCTATGCTTAACATATATAAATAGTGTTCGATTGATAAGGCAATAGATTACCTCAATGCTCTGTCTGACTGAAGATTTTTGGAAATGTGAGTATCGACTTAATATATATTTCACTCTCTTAATACTGTTCCGTTGTCCCTCAACAATACATGATACAACGTATAGGGTTTATTACTCAGAAATCTTCTGATATCGCATCTAATGCACGAGAGATCTTGATATTTCGATGTGTCGCCAAATCCAAGGATTAGTCGGTATAGGAAGCAGAGTTTTGAGTACGTTTTATAGTTTTCTTTGCGAACTTTTTGCATACACTGAACGCGTACTGTAATGGGTATACTGTGATATGGCACACTTTTAATGGTTGGACAATAAATACAATTATTTATTTTCTGATTGTAACGTTTGGTTACAGCGACTATTTCGCTGTAGTTCACTAGTAAAATATGGGAACACTAACTAAAAATGCGATTTATTGTACGGCGTGAGAACGTTGCTTATTATCTGGTATGGTCAGCCTGTTCACGCATATTGGAAAGTCTACAAGGAATTTTTATCTCTGAATGTAGTAACCACAATATCATATATATTTTGTTTCAACGTAAAAGCTATTGTTATTAGTATGAATCATTTATGTGATATATTTTTCTCTGTATTATAAATTTGTATTATTGATTTGCAGATCCTTGATGTATTTGTTGCTGTATGGTGGAACACCGCAAGTACACGTCCGTGTGGGTTGTCACACAGGGTGCGTCAAGCGAAATGTTGGCGTGGAAGATACCTATGATCCGTATTGCGTTGACGTGTATGATATTCTCATCGGTTTGTCTTGGAGAAAGAACCAATAAAACGGATCTATACCTGTTGGGTTTGTTCCCGATGAAATCATCAGTGTGGGAAGGTGGTGTAACCCAACTGCCTGCCGTGGAATTGGCTTTACAACATGTAAACGAGCGAGAAGATATACTGCCTGGCTATGAACTGAAGATGTTATGGGAAGACAGTCAGGTAGGTTCGGTACACAAAACGGTCATTCATTATTAGATATACAAACAAGTTCCCTAGTCTCGATAACATGTGTTGTTAGCCCTCCTGTTGACATTGACCATATACGCGTTTCGTGCTTAAAAGTCATCGTTCATTTAAGCATTGAGCCTGACTGCTCTAATCTGCCACGCGTACCCCCCCCCCCACCTTGTACTGACTACTGTCTTCATTTACTTGGCATGCTTAAGAATTTCAGTCTTTAGCCGGTATAACATTTAAGCCAATGTGGATATTATATGAACAGTACCCTCAACCAATAAGATGTATTACGCTGTCTAACTATTCGCTGTATTAACACAGCGAGGATTGGGGTGAAAACAAATAACAACCCCCAATCTGATGAGGAATTAAAACGCAACATACTTTTGAATATCATTACTTGAAACATTAAAATATGGATATAATCGATAGTCTAACTGTCATTGTGAAAGACGAAACGTGACGTTCTGCATGAATGTGATTTTGTCTAGTATGAGTAATCACACAAGTTGAGTGCGATTAGCCTTTCTTGAATGCATGAAGCCGACCACAAGTACGGCGTTTACAATCTTGAAATCACTTTGTATTTATAGTTTCTGAAAATATGATCTGTGAAAATAGTCTCTAATTTGTCTATGAAAAATAAAATGCACATTTGATGGCAAATACCACCCTAATTAAATGAAGTTACAAATTTAATGTGTTGCCCCTTCCGCAAAGTGATATTTTCACTATTATACCACTTCCGGGATCGACAAATGTTTTAAAATATAAACACACATTTTGTTTAATTGTGGAAAAGCAGAAAAAAATAATTGGACATAAAACAAGTAGAAGATTTGTGTCTGTCAGTGTGTACTAATGAAATTCGGCAGAAATTATATTATGTTTTAGTCAATATATATATTTTTTGCCGATAATTACATTTCCAAAGATGCAATGCGCGCAACTGAGTTAAAATGTGCTAACATCGCTGGTACTTGAGAGAATTGAATACTTGCATATAAGTTCAGATTCTTTGTAGCTATGATAATTTAGGTGAATCAGTATCACGCGTGAGACACACTAAACGTATTGTCGGGTTAGATTATGCAGAGAAATAATGTTCTTGAGTTTACTTATATACTGTTATGTTGACAACATTATTCACCTTTTCACAATATGGTATTTCATTAGTTATGGTGCTGGAAATATTCAAAGATGCAATGAATCTAAACAGTGAATCTGTGTTAACTATGCTAATTTATGCTAATTAGAAAAAATACGGCATCTACGAATGATGATTTTTAATAAAAACGTATTTTACCACTTCAGAGATTTTAAATCTGAGTATGCAATTACCACCATTCTCGGGGGCTAAGCTACGTCACAAAACTATGCAGCCAGGACTCTGTGCGAGCTGCTGCGAAACGCCCATTGAGATGCCAGTGACAACAGCTGAAGTCGAGGCAACAAAACAGACTCAACTTAGAAGTAATACATAGCAACCAAATTTAGATATGTTGCATACAGTACAGTAAAGTTTTCTGATAGTTTTCGGACTTTATTTACACCATTGATAGTGGCAAGGCGATGAAAATACCCGGATGTCCGCTCCTCGAATAAACAAATTCATACAATTTGAACCTCACATACAATCAACAAATGTTAAAAAGTTCTAATCTAGCAAAATATGGAGTAAAACATATTCAGTACTCAATGATTTCGCTTATCTGAATTTTTGTGTGACTAGAAATATGTTACAAATTGTTAGGATAATTGATTACAGCTATGTTCTAACTGTTATAGGGTACATAGGTATAGTTATGTTTTAAATGTTATAGGGTACATAAGTACAGTTAGATTTTCTGGTGATACACGAGTACAGTTATTTGATCTAAACAAAAAGTTATTGGTACCAATAAATTACTTTTCGATTTATTATTGGCTTAACAAATCTGTTGGAAGATTTTCTGTTTTGTAATTATTTGAAAAAATCGAGTTTAGTGCATATTCACACCTTCTTTCAGTCGACCGGTAAGCGTCAGAGATATTTCTTGTTTTGTTGTTGTGAGTAATGAATGACTATAAATTATCCGATCAGATAAGATCAGTCGAGATTGAACGTCCTTGAGTTGCGTCTTAGTTATTCTACTTATCGTGAAACGCTTTGGGGAGAACACGAAAACATTTCGCGACATAATACTTTCAATCAATAACCTATTTCCGACATGTCACCATTGTACTGAAACTCTGTATTGTCCAATTTCCGGGAAAGTTACGTCAAGAGTGAACTGACGTAGGGTGTGTGCTACAATACACCACAGAACTGAGAAGTCATGATGATGTCGACAGAACATATCAGAACTATAGTCAAAGAATGAAAATTTCTTGAAATATTAAGACGTATTTCGATTTGTTTGCTTTTCGAAAAAATGAGATGACCGAATATGAATGCGACTTTGAGGGAGCCTTGGTTAAAGTCCGCAGGCTCGACCGAGCGAGCCCGGTTGACGCCAGGATAGCGCATTAAAATGCCATTTGATAGAGAGATGACCACATGGCCCTGTTATGTAGTTCCAAACATGAATATGACTTCTGTGGCAAAAATGCACTATGTGTCAGCATTTGCACTTACAAAAAACAGTGACATTCAACGTCCAGAACTGTCGCCTGGCACAAAAACATTTTAAAAAGATAATGTATACGTTGTTATAGTAGCGTGTTAAGTATAAATGTCTGAATCACAGATCACTCGTTTTATTTTTACATTACAGTGTGACTCGGGTCGTGCCGTCGATGCTATGTATAGTCTGTTGTATAAGAAACCAACCAAGTTATTCATTATTGGGCCGGGGTGCTCAACGACGTCCGAATCAACAGCAATTTCAGCACAACTCTGGAGTCTACCACAGGTAGTTTGCTGAATTATATTTGTGGTGAAAAAACTATTATCAGTTGTTATTAGATGCTAATAGTTCCTCTGATCTTCAATTAAACTTCAATTTAATTTTACAAAAGCTTTATTACTCAACAGGTTTCTTACGCAGCTGGGTCCTCGTCATTGTCAAATAAAGAACTATACCCATATTTTATGAGAATGAAGCCCGCTAATACCGTTCACAATCCAGCGAGATTGGCGCTAATGCGACATTATGGTTGGAAGAAAATAGGAACGATCGTAGAAGCAACAGACAATTACTTGTCGGTATGAACTATGTTTTATTCTTCAAAACGTTAGATGTTTTCAGCGACCCACGATGAAGCAGCTCTGTGTCAACAATGTCATTTTCCGTTTCCGTTTTACATTTAATCATATAACAGCTAATTCATTTTAGCTAATTATTATATTGCTTATATTCTAATTGCTTTTCAATTAACAAATCAAATGTATGTTCACATTACATGTTCGCACTTCTTCGCATTGGGTTCAACAAAAAATGACGTTAGTCAAAACTCTGCCTGGTAAAAAAAATATGCTACAAATACAAGCGAAATTCAAAAATGGTTGACATGTATTCCTTCAAACATAACACATACTTAAAAATAATAGTACCGGATACTGATACAAATCATTCAAGACAATTTCACTGAGCTTGCTGAAACTATTTTGTAGTAAGCACTTGACGCACTTATTATACAGAGGGAATTCAATTTCTTTCCATAAACGATAAACGTTACTTTATAGTGTCTTATTGAATAATAATTACCCTGACATGTTTCCTATTACAGTTGATGCAAGACATGGTTGTTAGAATGCAAAATGATGGCATCGACGTGGTGACCACAGACCCTTTCATTGACAACACTAATTTGGCACTGGACCACTTGCAGGTAATGTAACGAATCTGACAACTTTTGCATATTTTCTGCAAGATCATTTTGAACACCCTTCATAAAACCTTCAACCAGCGTTCATATAATATATCATTGCTCTTCTAACGTAGATTACTGTATACAAATATATTGTCTTTGTCATTATTTGAAAGTACCCCGGCATATTGTTCAGTAAAAAAATTCCCTTGATAAAAATGCTCCTTCAAGCTCGATAAAAACCGTTGTACAATATTCCGGTTTAAACACAAGATGGCTTTTAAGGCCAGTTGATCGGAAAGCACTCAACGTATGTTGCTTTGACTCCTCTCATCACCGAGTCTCTGTACTTAATCATTCGCCGTGGTTCACTGGTAAGCCATGAATTGTCTCCAGATTATTTAATAAACTTTAGTTTATGGAATACAAATATTGAGTAATTATCTTTACAAGATGTTTTGGATTGCCTGCTTTTATCTACATTTGAGATAGCCATTTGATACCAGGGAAACTAGAATAATTTCAGAAACAATTTATTGAGGGTAATTATCTAATTACAGTATCTATACAGTGGTAAGATATATCACCAGTAGGTAATACCACACAGTATAGTCACAGAGCATAATTAATTAATAACTATGTTGGTCAAAGCCACTATGTTGCGCAAGATTAAATAAATGACATACAATCAACAAGAACGCCACACAATATACTGCTAAATCAATGACACAGTCATAAAAACGTGATGGCCTGTATTAAGGAATTATCACATCTACAAATCAGACATATATTTATCATATGACACCTGTAATGAAAAATGTGCTTGGTTTAAAGAATCACCAAATAACAAAATGTTTATGCATGCACTTTGTGAACTAAGCCAGCATGCACCATACCCTATAAATATGTGAAGTTCTATCACTCACTTGTTGCATGAACAATGTATGACACGTCAAGTCTCAGTTACACAAGAGATGACTATGTTTAATACATTTTATATAATTGTTTTGCCGAATATTAGCGTGAAGATGTGAGAATAATAGTTGGTGATTTCTACACTCCCGCGGCAATCGAGATATTCTGTGAGGTAAATAATCAAATAATTATGGTTTTTAATAGATATATTAGGAATTGAAGCCTCATTGTGCTTGGCCATGTAAAATCGTATCGTTTGCCAGTTTGTAATCCACATGCGCTTACTATGCTAAATGTTTTCGGTGAGATGAATACATCTCAATTGTGAGAAGCTAGTGGAGATATTTATTCTCAATCATGAAAACAGCATGATGGATAATATTGTTAGGTTGTAATTAGTAAAATATCATGTCATTACAGGCTTACAAACGTGGTATGTACGGCGCGAAATATGTATGGTTCGTACAGGGATGGTTCACAAAATCATTGATTGACAGCGCCTATAGTGACTCCACTGTTGATTGCACACGAGAGCAAATTGATGAAGTTATGGAGGTATGCCTCACCGTTATCACATCTACAAACAATCGTTTTGAGGTGCTGTTTATGTTTATATATGTTGATTATTCATTATATAGTATATAATTGTACAATGTTCTATTCTATATTCAACATGGTTTTAATTTGTAAAAAAATTGTTGGAATAGCCCTTTCTAACAGTTTCGGGGAATCATCTTTGACTTACCTAGTTGATTGGAATCTGGCAAAGTTAGATGTAATAGTCATGTTTGGTACTCTGCTAATATATCTGAGCATTGCAATTGCTGTGTTGTACTAATGATGAAGTGTTGTTTTAATTACTGTCATGATAGCTCTCACATCTGTTTATCGAAGCATGTATAATGTACATACACACATAAATATCTAAATCATTTATATTCAATATAGATTATAATTAACATTTGTCATTACACTTATATCTTCTATGAATTTTGTATCTCAAATGATAGACCAGGGTTTTGACAATTATAATATTTCTGACTCAAATCTGTAAAGATGTTCAGCTATATATGTAGTGTTCTTTAACTTGAATTTTCCATTGGTCACACAAAGTTACCTATAATAATTGGGTCATCTATGGTTTTGATTAAAAAAAACGATGTTAACATAGGATGATTAAGGTAGAGATGCAGGTTCGTGGGCACTTGGGAGTGACATTTTTTTTTTTTTGCTTTTTATTATCCAAACAGTCTTGTCTATAGACTGTAAACATTTTGTGGAATTGTGAATAGTGAAACATATTCAAAAAACGATTTTAAAATATAGATAACGGATGCAAACATTCTCTCTTTTGAATGCTTAGCAAGATTTAGCAAGGCTGTACATAAATAATAAAAAAAGAAACATAGTGAAAAAAATAAATGACGGGATCTCCATATTATGCACTATATTTAACTTGTAAGAAAACGATAATACATTTAAATTTACAGCCATTTTAATTATGAGCATTAGCAAAGTGAATTGTTATGCAAATTAACAATTATCTCAGCTTCTTTTTAGTGCACATCTCAGAACTTTAAAAAAATAGCTCCTAGACGCTTCGACCTTTTGTTTTGAAATTTTCACAAATGATTGAAAATGTGTTTATCTTCAAAACGCCGTCGGAGCATTGTTTTTGGTTGAACAGTGTTACAACAATAGTACAGACAACTAGCCTGGGTGTTAATTTATGCATAAACTTAGTAGTGAAAATTTGAGCTGATGCCCTGCACAATTGACAACTGGTAGACAGTTTTCAAGACGGCGCTTTCTTCATAGTAAACAGATGTACCCATAAGCCAATTTTGACCGGAAACAGAAGCATGGTTTATAAGCTAATTTTTTTTAAATCACTTTTGACCAAAAAAGCACAATTTCGTGCATATTTCTAACTACAGTGTCCATAAAAAAATACTAACAAAATTTTAAAATTCATACAATAAGCCGAAAATATATAGTTTGTGGACAAGGGAGGTCATCTTGGTTTCCTAATTAACTAATTAAAATACCTGTTCAGGTAAACTGAATCTCTATCTTAAGTTGATTTGCAAATGAATATGAATCAAATGACAAAATTGTCTTTTGATATGTTGATTATTCATTATATAGGATATACTTGTACAATGTTCCATTCTATATTCAATGAGGTTTAATTTTTTTTTAAATTGTTGGAATAGCCCTTTCTAACAGTTTCGAGGAATCATCTTTTGACTTACCTAGTTGATTGGAATCTGGCAAAGTTAGATGCAATTGTCATGTTTGGTACTCTGCTAATATAGCTGAACAATGCATTTGGCTGCTATGTTATAATAATAATGAAAAAAACGATGTTAACATTGGATGATTAAGTTGATTTGCAAATAAATCTGAATCAAATGAAAAAAAGTTCTATCCTAACCAAAATATATCAAGTGATACATAAAATGACAATCTAGAACTCAATCCCAAATGATTTCATTCACCTTTGTGATATTGCATTTCCATTGCATGTTTTCTAATGAATATCTTATTATAAAAGTGTATTGACTAGTCGCACTTTTATATATTTAACAATTGAAGGTATAATTACTGTGAAGTTGAAACAATAAATGAAGACAAGAGTGTGCTAAAAAATAAATACTTTGTATTGTAAAATAAACTTGCTATTTTATATTTGAAAAATGACATACATTACAATAATTGTACAACAAATTCAATGCAATGGAATAGCGGTACACACAATTTAATTTGTAACCATCTTACATGAAAATATGGCATTTAGATTTATTTTTTTTATTTCATAATCGTTCGACAAATAACATTGTGAATGCATAATAACTTGATGCTAAAATAATGTCTTGCTTATTTTTGCAGTCTATGCTCTCTGCATATATGTATTTGACGAACCCGGACAACACTAAAGGCATTTCAAATTTGGTTAGTATGTGCTTTTTCTTTCTTTCTGCCAGTGTAGATATGTTTAAGGAACGAATGAACGAATAAATGAATGAACAGGTAGTGTCATTTAAATTGAAATTCAATGAGAGTAATTCAACGAGCGGGACGGAAATAGTCAAGTCGGTCGCTCGTGTTGATATGAATAACAATAATAATGAATAAATATTGTTATGTCGAATAATAACGGAATACTGATGGCGATAGTTAATTTTCATCAGCAGAATGAATGAACAAATAGTGAAAACGTCGCGTGAACGAATAAAAATGGAAAATGAAATATGCGTTTGAATGGCGTTTGTGTACGATACAACTATTATATAGATATGCAAGTTTGTTGTAAAACTGGTCTTGAAAAGGGCTTGAAAGAGTGGTTTATTTGTCTATATAAAATCGTCATAAAACAGATTTATTGAAAACTAAATCTAAAAGGTGATGTGAACTATGGCGGATATTTGCAGATTCACATCTTCTCTTCTTTAATAAAAAATCAACTTAAAACACACACATTTTGACCGTAGAATAAAACTATTGATACTCGATCAAATAAAATGTATTATTATGCAATTGTTTGATTATTGTATAGTTTATCATCATCGTTTATTTCTGAGAGACAATCACTTTACATTACGATATCTACCATTACTTGCTGCAAATCGCATATACAGTGGAAGTAAACATCAGTTCAGTTTAGCAATATGATAGTGACACCGTTTGTATTTTCACGAACACGTAAAATAAAAGACAATGTAGCCAACTCACGATGAGAATATAATGATTATTAAATGAAAAATAGATTGTATACGATGTTTCCCTGATTTTTGACTCCCTTGTGCAAAGCAAACAATGGGAGTCATTGCGGTTATCCTCTCTATATGTATGTCTGTCTGTTCTACCAAAAACCACTATTCAGATTTCAATGAAACTTGGGACATGTATGCTTTGTGAAGACCTGATTAGTTTTGGGTAAATACGACTAATAACTGATTTAATGAAACTTGGTATATAAGTACATGGGGACAATGCTAAATACCGGATTATTTTGGGATTGAAATGTTAGCATATTAATTGCCAAATTTGGATAATATGCATAATCACTTCATTGTAATTTGGTCCATTGAATAGGTCTGTAATTTAGTTTAATAGATTAAGCATGTATATTTATTCTCTAATCAATATTATATGATATCTGAAAAGATATATTCAAATTGAACTTATGGTAGCGGTGCTCTGAAAAAAAAGACTGTAAACCTCAGAAGTACAATCAACTTTATTTTCTGTAATCTGGATCACATTGTTTTTACGTCGTAAATATTAGTTGCCAAGATTTTTGTTGGAAATGCACATCTTAAATTGTTATTTAAATTTTAATATGTCTTCAGTTGTTTTGATTCGTAAAATGTTTTATTCTAACTGCACTTCGTTCTTACACAAGAGCGATACAACCACATATTCATGTTGGTTACAGTTCATATATGAAATTTCGATTACACAACTTCAACATTATATTATGACATATGTTTATTATATTTCAGACTCCAGATGAGTTTCTGTCATTATACAACAATTATATGAATCACACTGCTGAAAATTTAGTGGGATATATCAACATACCCTACGCATATGATACTGTATGGGCAATAGCATTGGCGTTAAATGACACTATAAACGTACTGAAATCCAACAGTAAGAACTATAATTTGTTTAATATATTCCCGAATTTTCGCATCAGTTCAAGTGTTATGATTTGCGCTATATGAAACCGGGTTCGTTCGTTGCACTATGTATTTGAACTTGGAATCCTTGATAATGATCAAAAACAAATTACATGTGTAGTTGTGCTCATTTTAATTTTGTATTTTTGGTTTAAGGGAAATATAACAACAAGCGATTAGAAGATTATGAATATGGAGATTGTGAACTTGCAGACTTGATTTTGAGCAGTTTCAAAAATGTGTCATTTTCTGGTGTCAAGGTGGCGATTTTATCATTTCATCGTGTTTTAAACTTGTCCTATTAGGTTTTGATTTGACATTGTAGTGATCATGTCCTTGTCAGTTGTATAATTTTGTTTTTGTGCATTGTCTTGTTGATTGTATGTGTTCTTGAATTGTTGTTCAATCATTTATGGTTTGGTAAGATTCAGTCACATTTACATATTTTGTCTCGTGTCTGTGAAATAAATAATGAGTAATTGATATAATATGTGGTACTTCATGTAGTACTTCATGTAGAAATCTTTTAGGTATTTTTTCCAAATTCAGTATTTCCATTCATAATGCCTAAAAATTAAATAATAACATTGTTTCGGGATACAATACATAATGTGTTTTAAGTAACTAGAAAACTGCATATTCAGCCAAAATTATACCTTTGTGTTTTCATTTAATCTTATCATAGACGTACACGTCATTTGACAATAATGGTGAAGCTTCAATAGATCGAGATGTCAACAATTTCAAGGTACTACATCATTTCTTTCTCTTACTTTATTGTCGCCAATACTCCCATTATTGTAAATTTCTAAAAGACTGTTCATGAGAGAAGATTTTTTGTTTAAATTGTTTGCTTTATATTTCAACAGGCGCGAGATTGTGGAGATTGCTAGATATTATATAGGTACTGATTTTCTCGAATTTGAGAGCAAAGATGCAGTGATATGGCAAGGTAAATATCATTGGAATGTACTATGTTATGTAACTGTTATTCAGAACAGCATTAACACTAATTCTAATACGCATTGATAATATTGATAACAGTACCGAATCAAATATACACAATTCATTAATGTAGATTTCACAATTGTTATTATGATTTCACTTTAAGTATTACTATCAATGCAGGCATTTTGTCCGGAAGCTTATCAGAAAGTCACACGATGACACTTTCCTTATGAGTAATACGTTAATGGTCCGTTTGACTTCTCTGGCAACCATTGATACTATACTAACCATTCGATTTCGAGGTTTAATTTTCTTTAACCGTTTAAACTATGTGTATACAAAGTTCGCATATAACTTGAAGCTTTCAACTGTTAGTCATATGGTGAAAAATTATGTAGACATTTTGGTTGGACCGAATTGACAACTAAATGCTCTTCTTACTTTAAAATAAAGAGTACAGTATTTAATAAACAAGTAAAATTAGTATTTTATATTTATTGAAGTTATACATGAGTTTTTCTGAATTTTCTTGTCAAATTCAGTTGCTCTTATGATTTAAACAGTTTTACAAAAATGTCCATAGTCATTATTGGATTTCAACTCAAGGCGGTGTATATGTACATCAAAATATGTTCACTTTTTTTTTTAATTGACGTCACTCCATGAATACAAAGGGATCTATATGCATTTGTTTTACTCATTTGCCTGTGTTGTGTAATGTACCTGTGAGGTAATTGTTTTTCCAGATGGATTGATGATTTTCACTTGTATTCCCCATATGACTGTTCATTTATCCATGACTGGGTGTTTTATTTCAATTTCACTAGGGTCAGGACCACCGAAGGATGAAATTGTCAAAGAGTACCGAATCTACACAGTACCAGATTACGTGTATTTTATTATGTCTGTTTTAGCTGCCACTGGAATCATATGTGCAGTCACATTGTTATTTTTCAACATCAAATTCAGGCATAAGAGGTAAGTAGGAGTAATGTAGTAGCAATTCTTTATTAATCTGTCAGCCACACATTGGTGATATTTTTTGTCAGGGTACATACCCGCATCCGCCACCTTGTAGAAGTAGAAGGAACATAGCAAGCCAGAATTGTCAACAGTCGATCATTTAGAGACATGGGTTTAGGTATAGATCGACACCAAGAAAGTATATTCTAAGTAGTCTGTTTGTAAATATATTTATTGAATATTGCAGCCCAATCCCTACTTTAATTCGGATTGCCATAAAGAAGTCTGATATGCGCGTAGTTCATGATTAGAATGCCACGCGTAAACCGATTTTCCCGTGCGCGTAAGTTGCATATTGATCGTCGTCACACACATTGTATTAACATTTAATATAATTGATTTCATTTATAATATAGTTGCGTTATGTTTGGATTGGAGCGTGTGTCTAGGGTTGCGTATTAATTTGAACTTTAAAAAACATAGAAATGTTTGCGTAACTTAGATTTAGTAGGTGGTAGGTACGGTACAATTATATTAATATTAATATAAACTACACAATACATTCCACCTACTAAACCCTAGCTATGCAAACTTGACTTAAATTCGATTAAATATTAATATAAATTATAAAAATAGTGAGGGTCGTAACTTGGTAGATTCGCCGTCATTTAGTAGGCGTAAATAAAAGTCAGCATAACTTTTTTTTTTGAAATCACATTTAAATCATTGATGACAACATGCAGTCGACTGTTATCTTTTTAATTATGCTAATTACGTGTAAAAATAATGCCAATATTTACTAAAACAAAAGGTCGCTTGTACTTGGTATGTAAAAAAAATAACTCAACTTGTTAATATGTCTTTTTTTAGAACTATTAAGATGTCCTCGCCAACAATTAACAATTTCATACTGCTTGGGTGTATCATTACGTATTCAGCGGTTTTTGTTGAGGAATGTTGCGACACTCCAACAGAATACTCACCAGTTTACTGCAAAGCTTATGTCTATCTACTAATGATTGGTTTTTCGATTGCTTACGGTGCATTATTTTCAAAGACATGGAGAGTGTATGTAATATTCACCAAAAATCGTGTTCAGAAAATAGTAAGTAATGATTTATAATATCGCAGTCCATGGAATGTTTTTTTTTACTTTAATTGACTCTAAACAAGCATATTTTTCTGCTGAGCAATGTCTTGTATTTTTCTCAAAGGTTGTATTTTGTCAACTTTAAAACAGTTACCACACGAGGAGTGATACGTAACGATAGATATTCAATACCCGGAAATATCGCAAGGCAATCGCATATTTTATAATCACCGAGTCCTTTGTCTACTGGACATGATGTGCAAAAACATGTCGTTCATCTTTAAGACAGAAGGCTTTCACATAAACATGTGAGCATTATAGTGACAATAAATGGTACATGCCGCCTTTCAATTAGAAATTCTGAAATCACACTAGTTTTCTTCATGTCGGTTATTATTGCACGCACATTAATATATTTCTATTTTGATATTGCACAGAAATATATATATAACCATTTGATTTTCTAAACATTCTTTCAGACTATTACGCTGATCTCTTCTCTTTTAAGTTACTCTTCAAAATAAGGATTATATATTGTTGCTAGAACAATTTTTAAAATGTACATTTTTTCAATTATATTTACTAGTTTTCTAAAATGGTATTCCTCTTTAGTGGCACCATTCTGTTTGTGTGGTTCTTATCAGTTCAAAATAGACAAATGGTTATTTTAATAGGCATATTCACTTTCAAAACAATAACTATTACAGAAAATAAAAGACATGCAACTACTTGGAATTGTTCTAGTGATTTTTGTCGTAGATGTGTTGATAATCACTATATGGGAGATAATATATCCAATGACGTCACATCTTGTTACAGTGACAGCAGTGAGTATATTACATTTATCATATTAAATATAATCTATTTGCATACAATCAATGATGTCAGTATTCACTCCCAACTGTCGGTACATGTGTTTCAAATAAACTGAATGGGTTGTGCATCAACATTTTACGAGATTTTGCCATCATCGTGGAGTGTCAGGAGAGACAACATTCAGTGTACTAACAGTATAATATCACCGTTGTCATTAAGTTATGTCACTATTGCATTTTTAGCCCAAAGAGCTGGAAAACGTTATAATCACTTATCAAGTATCGTCCTGTACATCAGAAAACCTTGGTTACTTTATGGCTGCTATCTTAAGTATCAAACTATTGCTACTTCTGTTCGGTGTGTTCCTGGCATGGGAAACTAGAAAGGTTAGACCTTGATTCATTGAATATTTTAATTTTCGCTACTTTGTACATTGCAAAATAACATTATGCGTTTATGAATAAATGAGTCAATAAAGTCCTATGTCTGTGCATGTGTTTGAACACGCTTACTAATACGGAATGTGTTAATTTTCAGGTGCATATCCCTGCATTGAACGACTCACGCTATATCGGCATATGCATCTACAACGTGGTCATCTTGTGCGGTCTCGGTGCACCCCTGGTCTATATTCTACGATTTCAACCGACTCTGTGTTACGTAATTTCTTCAACATTCATCATTTTGGGGACCACTGCTACTCAGTTCTTGCTGTCTATACCTAAGGTATGTATTAATATTTACCTCCGATGTGGATTTGTTTCAAATTTATCAACCACGGACAATGATTCTGGCTATTTTCTTGAAAAAAAACAGTTTATGGTATGATGTATGAGACTGACCGGTATTAAGCAATAACCTGCTTGTTCTTTATGCTATCCAAAATATCAGGCAAACAACTTAAACATTCATGTTTATTTGGGAAATAATGTAATTTTGGTATCAATAATGTTATAAAAAGGGTCTCACAATTAATCTGTTATATGCACTGGTACAAGTGACACAAGAAGTGTTTATCCTTCCTTATATCTTTCTGTAACGGAATTTACCACGATCTACATGATTCATTATATCGAGTTGTGGATGTCTATTTGAATAAATTAAAACTAAATGCTGAAAAAAACGCCAAAAATTGTAGACATTGATGGTACATTAGTTTCCGTGATAACAATGTACGGAACCTTGGCGTCATGTTTGACATCGAGATGGCGATGCGGGACCACATTGCACACATTAGAGACATTAAGATGCGCATACGAGAACGGAACGAGAACGTTGCCTGGTCGTTCGGCAGTCGTTTTGAACGTGGTCAAGGTGACTGACTCGTAGTTGATTTCCGAGAGCTTTTCTCGCTGTCAATTTTGAATAATTTTCATTGACATTGAATATTTGTATTATATAGTGTGAATATAGTGTTTTTGAATATTTATGATGAAATAAGAAATATTGGATGCATTTTAGCTGACATTTATACCCACTGAAAACGCATGATATTGATCTGCTGAAAGAGGATTCGGCAAACAGGCCTAGGACCTCATCAGAGTGGATGGAAATAGTGAGAGCTCTGTCAAATGTCTGTGAACTAACTACTAATTCTGATTCCGGACGTGAAATGACATAACAAATTTTATTAGGTAGTTATTGTTGCCCAATGAGAGACGGATTGACATGGTTCTGGTTTCAGTTACGTTCCCATTGTGGGCGCTTGTACTTAATCGTTTTCTGACACCCGAGAACGTAACGCAAACGAAATTAGAACATCATGTTACGTTCTCGTTACGTACGCAAATCTTAAACTCTCTATTGGGAAAAAAAACGTCATTTCAACAATTTCAAAGAATAACACAAATTAGAAAATGTTCATCTATTGAAAAAAACACAATGGTGGTACACGTCCTTGTCAGTTCGAGAATAGCACTACTGTAATTACCTGATGTATGGTTCACCCAGTATGCTGATTTCTAAATTGCAGATGATGCATAATGCTGCTAGTTTTATCGGTGGCAGTAAAACATACAGGATCATATCAATCCAACACTTATTAGATTACATTGATTGCCTGTCAAAGTTGAAGATCATACATTTGAGTCTAACGGAAGACGGGCATCACTGTATATAAGCGACATGCTAATACAATACGTGCCACTAAAATCTATGTTACGTTTCGCTAAACGGTTTTTATCTAACTTCAGACATGTATACAGGACAGGTGCCATGTATGAAACTAAATGTATAACTTTTTTGAGCATAAGACATTGTTGCAATGTTGTGAATAAGTATTTTTAATCTATTGCCATTCTGCTATGCTATTTTGATTTATTATATGATGTTTCATATGTTTATTGTGCTTCCTTCCTGGAATATTTTACAGTACATGGACCATAAAGTAGTACAAGTTGAACCTCATAAAAGTCTACATACCAGGATTACAGCAACACACAGTTCGTGTGCTAATTCTAAAGATGTTGAAATTCAGTAAGTTGGGAAATTTCCATATTATAAATGTATTGAATTTTTAGCATTTCACAACATAACTTTTTATGTTGTTTTTTGGTGAATATAGTTTATCTACAAATTGAGTTGCCTATTATAAAAAAAATGCGGCCGACAGACAGTAATCATAACAATTTCATGTTTCATTGTTTCCAGGTGTGACTTATTGGATGCCTAACTGAAGAAACAGAATTGCCAATAAGCATAGCAGGCTGTAATATATTGTAGCATTCATTGGTCGAATACAAAGCTGGATTGTTACCTTATGGCCATCTGGTCAAATCTGATATTGCAAGTCGAATTGGATGAACATGTATATCACTATTAAAATTATTTAACCATTTTATGTTTGTAATTTTGGTTGCATCATGTGCGTTCTATTTTTAAATTTAAGTGTAATGTATTGTATTGTATTACAGTGCAATATATTGTATTTTATTATATTGTGTATTTATGTGTAGTGCGACGTAGTGTAGTGCACACGCCGCATTTATTCATCATAACCAACAAGTACATTTATAGTATAACAGTAAGTAACATATTTTCAGAAAACGTACAACTTCTCGATTTTGGGGAAATCAATATTGGGTTTGTAAAAAATAATATGACCTTCTTCTAAATTCAATATTGATAATAATAATAATGTTACTTCAAAATAATAACACAATCAAAACACAAATGGAATTTTTCACTACTGTTTCTTCAGGGGTGCTTCCAACAATAATGGCAATGACTGGTATTCGACCAGTGATGCATGTGTATATTCTAAATTAGGCATAATATTTGCTAACAAAGAAATAACATTTTATACCAAATAGTGTCCACAAGTTCAAATGACTGATTTACTTATGTTGATTCTCGACACACGTCGCAAGATTAAATATAGAAGTTTTTCAAGGTACAATATTTTATTTTATACTGAGACTATAATAATAATAATAATAATAATAATAAAAGGCGAGTTTGGTAAATTTTCGGTAAGTGCGTTCAGTCTAGAATTCTGTATTGGCTCTGATTTCTTGCATTGTCGCCTAACCTATTGGTAAACACTTTGTAATTGTTTCTAGTAACGGAAAGAGAAAGAGAACAGTCTTGTGGGATTTTAAAATTTGATAGCTCTCACACTCATTAAGATTGAGCCAGCGGGTTGGTGATGTAATTTCAATTATTAAAGTATAACCAATTTATTTTGCTTTGAGAGCACTTTATTACGTAATTTTAATCTCATCATTTTATATATATGTATTGCTACGGCACAACAATAGATCATAATGATCAATTGATTTCAGTGATTAGACATAATAATGTAATATACTATGAGGTAATATACTCAGACAGTACGCTATTGCATTGACCTCCGCTTCGCGTTGGTCGATACTACCGCTGTACTGCCTTCGTGCATACTTGCGAGGTATCCTCGTAATAACCTTATTATTATTATACATCTTTTCTTTCCAAGAATACTTAATCCCGAAATCCAAAACGTTTAGAACAGCGAACGTCTCCTGATGGTAGCCATGTTTGTTTTTATTATTAGAGGACGCTTACGCAAGTAAACATTTCATAATTGTAATTTGCATTTCCAAATATGGTAGGATGAAAATAACCTGTAAAATACCTCAAAATTACGGCACGCTGTAGCTTATTGCGTTACGGTGACAGATGTATAATAATGTTACTCATGCATTACTTGTGTATTCCTACTTTTTTATCTTCGTATCACCGGTCATATATATATATATATATTGTTTGTATCCTGTACATTTGAAACGATGAATAAAGCATTATATATTTAATTTTGCTCATCGTTGTATTTGTGGAGTCGCTCCTTCTCTCCCATGTGGTACACAGATCGCAGGATTATGTGTATACGAGAGATCAAACAAAACTAACCAACTTGAAAAACGTCAAATAGCACTTAATTTTTATGAATTACCAAAAAGAAAAATTTATTTAATTTATCATCACTACTCAACACCAACATGTTAGAAACCGGAGCAAGGGCAATTTTATGTAGAAAAAAATGTATTTTGGAAATATATATTTAAAATGTTAATATAGTTGGTTCAAGGGAGATGTAATTTGTACAACTTGTATACAAGCATTAACAAGTTGTATGTAGCTCTACCCTTATTTGTGTATTTACAAATATGAATGACGTTATCATATTAATCGTTTGTTATTCAGGAAAACAATTGTCATGCTTCTTGAAAAGCTTCACGTGATATATTTAATGAAATGTATTTTCATGTAAAATTGAATGCGCTATTG